GAAAGCTTTCGTCCCCCCCCCCCCGCGGGCGCAAGTTCTGTCAGAGTGAGCTCGTTTTGGTCTTGCAACGGCGCATTCTCGATCGTAAGACACCACTTGAATCAATAAACGAGTCTCCAGACAAGAAGCTAGGGCCTTCAATGATTTGGAATGGTGGCTTTGGTATTGTCTTGCCTTTGCGTGAGCACATGTGAGCACGAAATGCCTGGCAACAATGCGAAAACTATTGTACAGGTGAACCTGAGCCTTTCGGTTTTACTTGTGCACAAGCTTGGTTTACGGAGGAACCCATCCAGTAGGTCGCAACGAAGAGACCCCATGCCCGAGAGTGACCTGCTCTGCTCAGTTGGAAGTGGAATGCTCGGGCCGTATGACTACCCAACCTACATCGACGAGCAGTTTGGGTGGAAGGCAGCAGGGTGAGCAGTTTCTGAGGATGAAGGCATACTGTGACAGCGTAGCTCCGTATCTGCCCACAGAGACTGGCATGATGCAGGATTGGCCGACGGACTACTTCCGTCGCGTCCAGAACATTGAAAGCGGGCAGCCGCAGCATCGGTGGAATCGGTTGCGCTCCTTGGCCTGCGCTGGCGTCTTCAAAGCTTCCGTACTGTATCCGCCTATTATCAGTCATAGTGGTCAAAGTTGCAAAGAGACGCCGCATCACAGATGCCCCGTGCGGCGCCGCTCCCCAAGGCTTATGGTATACAGATGGTTTCTACAACGTGTTCAGAGGCTGGCTGGTCCTGCTCGTTGTTCGGCTGGCCGACTTAGCTTGCTCCTGCCCAATCCCAGGTAATGATGCAGCAATCCTTCTGTGCGATGTAAAGGGCCCGCACTCGCTCGGGATACACACGCTCGGAAGGTTGCTTGCCAAGCACACGTTACGCTCACAAAATGTGCTGCTATTCCGATACTGTTGATGATTTGGCTACATGCCTCAGGTGCAGCATGTTAGGTAGGTCCGCAAGGCGCACAAAATGCTTGCTTGAGGCCGACACGCCCTCTCTATCGGCTGCCATACACCCTAAACACAGAGCTTGGCGTCTTCGAGGCACATGGGAGCCAAAGCCAAAGAGATGCCCTGGGTATGATTTCTAAGGGTAAGCAGATGTTCTTGTATGATGCGCATGCATACTCTGATGGCAAGTGCATTCATCTAATTTCCACCAGCTGCAAGGAAGGGCCCTGACTGCTCCAGAATGGCTGAGGGTTTATACGCTGTCTCCCTTTTGCTGCTACGGCAACCACAGAGAGCAGAGGTCGAGAAGGGGCAACCTGCTACCCGCGTGCAAACCGGCAGGGGCCATGTTAAGCTGTAGGAAGTGTATCTTACGGCGGCTGGCCTAATCTGGCATAGCAGGGACGATGCTGAGGGAGTATGATGGATTTTCACAAGCCAGGTTGAGAGGGGAGGAAGGTCAAAAGGAATCCACCATTGGGGGATCATGTATCAAACTCTTTTATGATGTCCACGCTTACGCTACAAAAATGGTGGGGTTTCTTCGGTCAGCAATGTCAGCACTCCGGACCTCCCTGGATTACTTGAGCAGACAAACGTGAGCGGCATCCAGGCACAGCCATAGAAGAACAAGTAGAGAGAAGGGTTTTGTTGTCACGACGCAAGACTTTCAGAACAAGATGCGGAGACCCCACAACAATGTACAGGTTGAGCAGGAACAGTGTAGCAGCGTAGCCCTTGAGATCCTTGAGAGTACAGGGCGAGTGACTACTGGGGCACAAAGTTTGCCGGCAAGGCTCATGGAAAAGATTGTTGAGATGACTGAAGTCCCGATGGCTAGGAAGTTTCACAGCCCTGGAATAGGGCAGAGAAGCCTTCAGCATCCAAATGATGATGCTTCAATCCTGTTTTGGATGGGTCATCGAGAGCTTGAAATGTAAGCTTCACTAACCGCCTATTGGGGTAATTATATTGGGGAATATAGGGATAATGGAAAAGAACATGGAAATAAAAGTGAGTCGTCATGAAGAATCTCGGGGTTTCAGGGCCTCTTAGCACTCCAGGCCTCGCGTGGGTGGACGGACCGAATGTGCTGAGCCATGGGGTGCAATCTGATGGGCCCAGTAAGGGCTCTGAACGGCCGTTTGAAGAAGGCAGGAGAGAGAGAAGGCCTAATTAACCCTCGTAAGAAAAATAAGGGCGATGAGAACAGAGAGCGACAACAAGAGTCAAGTCCATAAACAGGGAAAAAGATGGTTTCAGTTTGTCTGGTGATCTGCTCACTGGATGCGGTCCTGGGATGTCTCGGACAGGTTGAGCTCCAGTTCCAGCAAGCAGGCTATCACAAGGCCAGGTGCTGGCAAGGTCTTGGCACCATTGTAAACGCTTGCCCAGTGAAAAACAGGAATATGGGCCCAGGTCCCTTGTATGAGATTTCCGAGCTTGAGGGGTTCATGTCTGATGCAACAGCTGCTGAGACAGGTGTTTTGCTCTACCGCAGTCCGTGGCGGAATGAACGTGGAGCTTGTGCCTCATTGATGTCATGTTGTGTCCGACCTTGCTCTAAGCTTTTGCACAGCTTCATCCCATCCCGTCAGCCCCGGTCGCACAGAATGTCCCAAAAATGCGTCCACTTCTCGCTCACAAGCCGCAAGCCTTGTGAACATCTATCCGAGGTATCGGGACACTGACGGCAGCACTTTGCGATGGGTGGAGGAGGACATCTTTTTGATGGTATGTTTGCAACACGACATTCCCAGCAACAAGAACAGATAGATTACGTATCTCTGCCATGACATTTCACCTGGAAGGGCGTGAACATCTCCGACCCAGAGCAGATGCCCGTAGACGTGGCCGGAGGCCAGGCTGCAAGCCCAGGTTTGGATTCAACAAGCACAACAGCATATTGACAGCCTTCCTTTCTGCCAGAATGGCAAATGCCATGATTCAATGGGACTACAGTAGCAACACGTTACAACGTTGGCGTTTGGCAAGCCGAAATGGATGATGATGAACATGATGATGGTCACCTCCATCTAATGGTCAACCGCAGAATCATGATGATGTTGTCAGGCTCTGCTCGCTGGGATGCTCTCCTGTACCCACCGACATCAGCGACCTGCAGCTGCGTTTAGGTCGTGTGTTTGTCACCTAGATCCGCTGCCTGTTGAGTTTCTGCCTTTTGTGCAGTGTTATGCCGAATGGGTTGCCGTAGGAACAGGGTTGATGTCGTTAACCCAGTCCCGACAACCAGGAATTACACACTCATCCTCGCGTGCCGCGGGAGGGCTCCTTGACTTTACACAGTCGGCGCGCACACCCTATTGAACATGAGCTGCTCCTGCGCAGTGTAGGTCAAGCCAAACTTGGAACTGTTGAAGTTCTTGCTGTAAGGATGCAGTGCTGATCTTCAACACCTCGCTCCGGGTTAGCGCCTCAAATGGGCGTGCAACGGTGAGGTGAAGCACTTTTGCATTTACACCTTTTTGTTCCTTAATCGCACGGATTTTAAATGTTTCAAGATGTTTTTCAGGACTCAGGTCTTCCTACTTCTGTTTGTGGCTGCTTGCTGTGCCTTGGTTGAGTGCTAAAGAAAGGCCGCAATCACAACCACTGATGACACGGTTGACCACGCCTCTAGCTCAGCTATGCTCAAATGGCAGCACTCAGCTGACATGCTGCCGTTGTAATCTTTGCAAGGAGAAGCTTGCCATCATCGGACCACTGGAGCTGCAAGCACAGACCGCGCCAAATGCTTAGGAATTCCCTGCTGGGTCAGAAACAGGCTTCGCTTCACATGGCATTGAAGGCAAGAGTCTCCCATAGTCTCCCAGTTTCCCAGGTATTCCTTCCAAGTGGCGTGGACGTCCAACTCCCCCAACTCATCGGTCCAACTGCGCTGGGTCGTGTCCTTAAAATTCAAGCCAGGAGCTCGAGCAAATGT